ATAATTTATCATGTAATTCATATTTCCCATATCTTTTACAAATCAATAACCATATATTCAAAGCATACATTCACTCTTTCCCCTTGTTCATATATTCTAAGCATATTATATTTTCAATTGAAAGCATACATAATCATCTCACTTCATCTCCCCCTTTTGGCATAAGAAAAAAAATATAACATTTATGAGCAAAACACGGTCATAGGAAATAATAAAAGATTTTGCCATTTCAAATCCATTTTACTCAATTTTTCTTTTTGGAATAAACAAAAAAAATGTAGCACATATGAGAAGAAGAGCATGTCATATAAGATAAAAGCTTTAAATCAACCATAAAAATAGTAATATATTCCCCTCAATTAAGCATAAGATGTCAATTATATGAAAGTTTGAATAAGAGGGTAATCATCACTTTTTTATAGTAAAAATATTAATCAAAGCATGAGTGATGAAATGACGAAAGTATAATCATTTGGAAAAGATTGATATAGACTCCAACCAAATATGCACCTAAAATCAATTAGACATTTAGTATGAATTTAAGCCACACACTTCAAATTCATTGATAATTCTCAAATTTTCTTTAGTGTTTAAGATAAAGTATTTGCAACCAAACAATTTTAAGTGAACTATTTTCATTTAGCATAGTCCTTGTCATTTGTTGCGATGTGCGATTCTTCCTTTCTACAACTCCATTTTGTCGAGAAGTTCTAGGAGCCAAAAAATAGCTGTCAATTTCCAAATATCACCAAAATCAATATTATCAAATTCTCCATCATGATCACTTCAAACATATGACAGTATATCACTTTCATTTTGAGTCTTTTTACAAATATGTTTAAATGATTCAAGTTTCATGCCTTAGGTTCAAAAATAGGACTCAAGTGAATCTCGAAAAGTCATGACGAAAGCATAATACTTAATTTGAGCTAATGAGTCTAGATGGTCCAAAATGATTCGTGTGAAGAAGTTAAACATGTTTTGTAGTCAAAAAGTATTGTTTAAGTTAGAAAGAACTCTTCACTTATTTTTCAAATTGACATGCATCATAAATTTTCTCTTTCTCAAATTTCAATTACGGCATACCTTAATAAAACAATTTTTGGAAGTATTTGAAAGTAAGTCCATGTGAACATGACCTAATTTTCTATTTTCAATCAAGTATCTTTTAAATTTGATAAACACTATTTTTTTTTATTAATGTAACATCCTCAATAAGGCATTTGAAATAATCAAATTTGATATGATAACATTTATCATACAATTGACTAAAACCTAAATAGATTACATTTTATATTATCTAAAGAGAACATTTTTCAATAAAGGGAGATGGGTGATTACCAATCATTTCAATGATTTTTCTTTTGACATTAATTTCAAAAATATCATGACCACCATCATTTTTTATGAAACCCGTCAATAAGATTGAACAATTCATATCGAAACATAATAGACTATATTATATATCATAGTTCAATTGGACGTCCTCTTGAAAGATCCAGACGTCTACATACGAAAATTCCAACTTTTTGTCAATTCAGACGATGGAATCCAAATGTCGGTACAAATGTGCTATTCTTTACAACTAAATTAAAATATAAGCACATAAGCATATATTAAATAAAATATCAGTTCACTAGCGGTTAAGTAAAAGGAATTCGATCGTACATCAATATTTTGTTATATTCACAAAGCATACTTGGACCATCCAATTTGATTGATGAATACTTTGGAATGTTCATTTACTTCAATTCTTTTATTTCGAACTCCATTCTTTCTTTTTGAGAATAGAGTCTGTTTCCTAGTTATGTGTCAAACATCCACTATCAAAAAACTATTTGCTATTTATTTTTCTTGGTACCTACAAAATAATTTATTATTTGTTCTTTGGTACCCATACAACTTTGGGTTCTTGGTAGTTAGTGTTAGTGGACTTTTTAAGCCATTCGTAGTTACCTTCAAGATGCAACCTCTTTTTAATTGAACAATTGTAAGTTACATGCCCATTTTTATTGAAAAATTATATGTGACATTTGAAATGGGGGAAGTAAAGGCTTTAACGAAAAAAAATTTCAAGAGACTTTTATTTTAAAAATGGTTTGTATCCAATTCCTCATTTATCAAAAACAAATTTTTGTTTACCAAATATTAAATCAAAATTTTTCCTGCCTCGAATAAATTTGTGAACAATTTAAGTCAAATCTAAAAATTTTTCTTGTAAAGAGGAATTTTCATTAATTAAAGAATCATAATCATTTTGAATTTTCAAAGTTTCTTTACCTCATTTGCCAATAAGAATTCTTCTTTTTTAAGGATCGAATGATCTAAAGCAACTTTTTCAAATTCTCCAAGAATTTCATCATAAGAGGTAGATAATTCATCATATGAGCAGCTTCCATTTGAATTTATCTCATCATCAATAGCCATGAAACGCATATTGGCAATTTCGTCTTGATTTCCATCATCTTTATGGTTATCATCATCACTCTCATTCCAAGTTGATAAAAGCGCTTTCCTTTTTATAAATCTCTTCTTCTCTTCGCCCTTTTCTTCTTCCTTTTTGAATCGGCGATTGTTATGAAAACTTTTCCATTTCTTAACAAGAGAATCAGGTCGTCAAGTTTTTCATCATTCATATATTCTCTTGAAATGCCTTCATCAACTATGAATTTTAAAGCAATTTGGCACCTTTTATTTTCTTTACTTTTCATTGTTTTCTCTTTTATCTCAATGCGATTTAGGTCATATGTCATCGTTGTTCCATAGAGCTCCTCCAATGAATATGTATTGATATCTTTGGTATTTTCTTTCAACATTTTCACTGGACTTCATTCTTCCAAGAGTGACCTAAGCACTTTACTCATAAGTTCACAGTTAGTGAATTTTTGGTCAAAGCCTTTGAGGCCATTAACAATATCGGTAAAACGAGTAATAATGTCAACAATCGGTTCATTTTATTTCATAAAGAAATTTTCGAAATCTTTAACCAAAATATTTGTCTTGATTTTTTTTATTTTGCTAGTTCCAGCATGAGTAAATTTCTAATGCATGCCAAATATTATAAGCAAAATCACATGTACTAATCGATTAAATTCATTTATATCTAAAGCACAATTAAAGTATATTTTTTGCTTTAGGTTCTTGTGAAGTGTAATGCTATTTAGCATCATCCAATGATAAAAATTTCAGTTTAGGTGGCACTAATATGAATTAAATTAGAAATACAATTAAACGACTCAGTTGTATCTTTCATTGAGTTTATCGTGTCACACCATCTAGACTAGTATTGTAACACCACAAGAACTAGATAGCATTAGTGTAGGTTAAACGAGTAAGAAAATTTTAAACGCGTTTCCATTGCAAATTGATCTTCAATAAATAGCAGTTTGGTTCATACGCTTTTATCATAGTAGTATAGTTCTAATATGAGTGTTTGATGTGTGTACGAGTTCAGTTCAATTTCCAAGAGAGCTGGATCGAATCGAACAATGCCACCTCTATTTAGAAGTGCGAAAAAGGAAAGTGATTGATTAGATGGATGCAACGGTTTTTAAACAAAAAGATTTTGAATAAAAGGACCACATTCTAATTGCACTTTAGGTCCTCAATATTTTTCTGTTGTAACAATTATGTGCCCAACTTTTTTCATTTTCAAACTTCAATAGCACGTCACCTTAGTTAACATTTTTATCCTAAAAGTCAATTAGAATGATTTAAAAAGACCTATTTGTTCATCATATTTTAAAAAACAATAAATTCTAAAGCACAACAAAATATTTTTTTCATCATTCAAATTATGCAAACAAAATATTTTGATTGTGTTCACCATCAAGGGCGACATATGCTAGACAATGAAAATCTAATAAGAATTTGATGGGAAAATGGTTAGGAACTTCAATTCTATAATGAAAATCTTGAGTACAATTAAATTTTAATATAATAAATAAAAATTGCTGTGAGAATATAACTACCCTAACAAAAATTCAAAATAATAATGTGGGACAATGCGGCAACTGGGTGGGTCCATTGAGGTAAAGTACATGGGACTCAAGTGACCCAAGAAGAAGTTACAAGTCCATAGTTCTATTACCCAAATATATTCAAGCTTATGGAGAGCTGGGCTAAATCAAGGAGTGTCAAGTTTTAATATCACTACGAAGAACATCTCCAATAATAGTGTAAAATAGAGACTTAGATCACCAAAGTAATCGAAAACCTCTCGAATGGAGAGTTGCAAATGAAATGCAAATTGTATTTTTGAACAGAAAATGTTAAAAAAATCAAAATAGGCAAAAAGTGGATTTAAATCTTTTGAGCAAAATTTAAATTTAGATCCACTGCATGCCTTTGAACGAGTGCTTAACAATGTAGAGGTACAGATTCTTTGCTAATTGTACCCCTACACATTCATACATTGACCTAGATAAAATTAGATAAGATTCAAATATATGGTGTAAAAAGGTTATTTGTACTCTGTTCAGTTTTGTTCAGTCTAACATACTAAACTCAAACTCATATTGCTGTAATTTACAATGCTTTGTATTGATTCACGCATCCTAATGTAAGTATGTAATGACAATTACAAATGGATTCATACTACGTTTGGTAATTGTGAGAGCACAAATGTGGCAGTAGAATACAATACAATCAACATGGTGGCTTACTTTCAGAACCTACTCATACTAAATTAAGAGTATCAAACATTATTATTTGACTTTTCGAATGATTTAGTTAGACATGTTTAATGAACAAATCATAGACAGGTAGCTCTATATAGCGCCAAATTATTGTACACATTGTATGAACTATAGTGTACAGGTAAACTACAAAGTACACAATTCATTCTACCAAATGGTGAATTCTACGAAATGGTGAGACAAACTTTCGTAAGCGGGCCACATCCTGCACACTACAACGGCCCAAGTATAGAGTTGTTAAGAATGTACATCTCCTCTAAACGGCAAGTAGATAGATTAAGTTCCATAAACAAAATTGCAAAGAATAGTAATTTGCATGTAAGCGCATGTGTGTGTGGACAATCAAGGTCCAAATTTTAGGTCGAAATTGATACCTAATGGGACTTTTTAAAGCGTTTGGGTGGCCTCATCTTTTCTTTCCTCAAATCTAGTGTAGAGCTTTTTCCCTCAGCTCAGATCATAGAACTCTGCCTTGTCCCGATTTAACTGGAATTGGCTAAAGACTGGAGACAGACTTTCCTTAATGCAAGCTTCAAGCAATGCTGATTTAGGGCCGGCCAAACGAATGATACTTGTTCACCGACGGAAAGAGAGAGTGTTAACCCGAAGCACCGTTCCCCTACTATCCCATTGTATCTGCATACGGCTGCAAGTAATTTGAAAATAAAAATAAAAATTATCATGATAGAAAACAATAGGTCACAACATAAAGAGTATACCGATTTATAGTTTGCAGAGGCAATATAAAATTTTTGAGCGAAGAAAATGTTAGTTTTTGTATGGAAAATCCTCCCCCAAAAGAAGGAACTTGTTAAAAACTCATATATGCTCCAGAATAAGATGCTTGAAAAGTAACTTTTAACCTTGTACTCTACCCTCAGAAAAAGTTTCAATACCTAACACAAATGAATACTAATTATTAGGAACTCGATCCTGCCAGTGATATGAAGCCAAAAAGGAGGGAAAAATCCAGGAATACAACAAAAAATTTGAGAAGAAAATTTATGTCATGTATAAGAAGGCCAAATACTTGACTACCTAAATTAATTAACGATACTTATTTCATGACATGGCTTCCAACCATATCAAGTTCGGTAACTTCTCCATTATGTCACTGTAAGATTGATAGTCGACCAGTGTCTTATACACTCCATTTAGGAGTCGATGCAATTTGAGAATCACACTAAATACTGCATCAGACAATGAAACATTAGTATGCTTCTAGAATTACTGTAAGTATTATGCCCTAAATCCAATCAACTTTGAACATAAATACTTTTATATATAATTAATGCAATTAAAGGGCAAATCTATTATTTAATTAATAGACAATTAAATAAATAATAGAGTCCGTAGATTCAAATATTTGTAATTTGTTAATCACAAGGAGTTGTGATTGTGAGATACAAATTACATCTGATTGAATCTTAAATCATCCGTGGTCGTAAGTAATAACGAGATACGGATATCGTTATTACGGATAGACCATCGCGTGTGGCATTTCTTCCTTGTGAAATAAGTAGCTGATCTCACAAGTTAAAGTGTGGTGACACTTAAATGAACACGTGGATGTTTTGTTATAAAACAAAACATTGGAGACCCGTCGAGAGATTCCACATGGATAACTATCTGAGTGTCAGTGGTTAATCTCTAATGTTCAGTAGTGGAATTGGTCATTTGACTTGAGGTCGTCATGGTACCTTATATGAGGACAGTCATACTTTGACGGTATTGGATATTGCTCTGCAAAGAGCCGCTAATACGACATCGTTCGGGTATGTCAAGAATCGTATAAAAGTTGTGATTGATCAATAAAGGATTCGTCACTCTTAGATAGTAGGAGATTATGATCTGCGTTTCATTCAATTAAGTCGATGATGAAATCTTTGGCCAAGGTGTACTCATAAGTCGAAAAGGAGTTTTCGACTTATATTGACTTAATAGTAGAGTGAAAGATATGATAGAAATTCGGGATTGACACAATTTCATATCTCGTAATTGATCGGATCATATTGACGAAGGGATTATAGTTTCACGGTAAATGAACGAATTTGATTTTGTCATACCACGTGACATTTTCCGTCCCATGTATTGTCCTGACACATTGCTAGATGTCAATCAAGGACGGCGAGTGTGAATTGATAATAAATTAAAAGGGTGTTTTAATTTATCAATTTTTATTAGATCAAAATAATATTTCACGTCGTTAGGCATCGTGGTCGGGAACCTAATGGGTGGCACACAAAAGAGAATTGGAAGATTGCAAATTGCCAATTGGTTAATTTAACAATCATTGGATAAATTAATTAATTGAATTTGTTATTTATATTCCCGAATTAATTAATTGGATTAATTAAATGTTGGACCGGATCGGGCCAAGCCCGTTTGGGTTTATATAAATACATGGTTAGGGTTTGAGGTCCATATATTTTTCATTATTCTTGCTAGCACAAGAAAGAAAAACCTGGTAGCTGCAATCTTGTTCTCTGTGTGGATTACCGTTGGAGGCTGGACAATTGGACAGCTGTGGATGGCGAATCAGGATTGCTGGAACGAAAAGAATAGCAAAGAAGTTTGCAGATCTAGAAAAGGTACAATCTTATCACAATTTCTATCTAAACACAAAGGCGATTCTTGGTGGGAATCGAAAATTATTTTAAATTTCGCTGTGCATATATAAGTAGATTCCCAACAGTGGTATCAGAGCCTACTTTGTGTTTGTTAGAAATTGCTTTGCATGTTGGAAACAATTAAAAGTTAATTGTTTATTTTTCTTGTTTTAGTAATTAAGAAATTTATTTTTAATATTCAGAATTTGATTTTGAATATAAAATAATATTTGGGTCAGAATTAAAAAAAAAAAGGGATTGGGACTGGCCGGTCGCCGAAATTGCTGCCGATTGCCCAAGTTTAGGTAGCGCGGGGCGCTGCTCCAATGGAAGCAGCGCCGCACGCTGATGCTGCCGGGCGGTGAATGGGAAGGGGCGGCGCCGATCGTCGGCCCATGAAACTAGAAGAAGTAAAATAAAATAAAAAAATAAAATAAAAAATTGGTTAGGGTTTTTCAGTCGGTTTGGGTGAAATGGAGGCAGGGGCCTCTGACGCAATTTGTGAAATTGCAAGCCCCCGTTTGCAATATCCTTATGGGGTCAATTTGTTAAGTTATTTAAGTAAGGGACCGTTTTGCATTATTTGACATTGTGGACCCTTACTTGTAATTTCACTTCGGTGGTAAATGTGTAAATATTGAAATAAGGGCCTTTTTCACAATTTCAGAAATCGGAGGGCCTGTTTGATATTTTTAAAATGGGTCAAATTTTGAATTTTCAAAGATGTATTGAATTTTAAATTTGGAGGTGTTTTACATTTGATTTCCAAATGGGTTTGACCCATAATTTAATTTTGACCCAATTTAAAATCTTATTTAAAAATTGACGACATTTTATATTTTCATTGAAATTGGATTTTAACTTAAATATTAAACTTTGACCCCAATTGAATTTTATTTTATTTAGGAGTATTATCTTAGTTTAAAATATTAATTCAATTTTGAATTAGAGTTGGACTCTAATTTAGGACTTAATTAAAATTCGATTTTAATTAATTTTTCACCCAAAGATATTTTAGAAATTAGAATTGGATTCTAATTTGATGTATAATTAAAATTGATTTTAATTAAATTGTTTCGCCCTAAACTTTTCTTTAGATTAAAGTTAGACTCTAATTTGGTGCTTGATTAAAATTTGATTTTAATTAAACGGGTTGGCCCTAAAAATCTTAGATTTAGAGTTGGACTCTAATTCTACTATTTAATTAAAATTTGATTTTAATTAAATATTCCCGCTAATTAAATAATCGATTAATATGATTAATTAATTATTTAATTGTTCCGATCCATTTGTCTAAAAGAGTTTAGACAACTTAATTGCTAGAAACTTGAAATTAATTTGCATGTAATATTAGATATTATATAGGTATACATTTATGTGATAAATACATTATCAGTGGACAATTATGGACTCGACCATATGGATGTGTTGAATGGTTAATTTTATTCTTGTCGTTTTATGGGCCTGCGAGCTCTTCATCATTTTGGACCTGTGAGTCCGTTATTATTATTATTGTTGTTATGGGCATGTGAGTCCAATTTCACTTAGGCTTGCGTGCCAACTAGTATAGGATACAAGTTGCAACTAGACTAATTAAAGTAACAAGAAAAGGAGGAGACCATGGAGATGGCGCATTGATACTGAATAGTGTAATACCCCCTAGGAATTGACCAACTAATTTTTCTTGTGGCTCGGGAAGACTAGATAGTAAAGTCTATAATTGTCCACACTATTATATTATGTTATATATAAATATATTTATTTGCATGGTAGATGTATAATAATATATATATACATATATATATATATATATATATATGATTGTATTGTTGTTGATGAGACTTTTGAATGCAAAATCCCTCCACAAAATATTAAGTCACATTTATGATTGCCTTTCATCATTATAGTGAAAAACTAGAGTCCCAAATCGTCTTAACTTGTTGAGTACACTCAAGGCTAGTCTATTAGGGATATGTTTAGCATTATGAAATATTAGATATTTCTGAATGATGGGTTCGACTTAACTAAAATTTATCTTTTGTTGAGTACACTCAAGGAGATAAATTTTAGAGGCGTGTTAAGCTAACACATATGATGTGTGAAGACAAAGATTTGTCAGCTTAATGATCTGGGAGTTGTATGGAGATACAATTGATAATAGTATCTACCCAAATGTTATATTAGGGCTTGTTGAGTACACTCAAGGTCTTAATATAATAGATGGGATCCCAGCCCACTGGGAGTCAAGTTCGGACTCCATAAATTTATGTAAAAGGGTCATAAATTTTATTTAAACAGCGGGAGTATAATTAATTTAATAAAATTCCATGTTAAATTAATTGATGCATTTTGTATATTATTTTTTTTCGTCATTTATATTTATTGAATCGTGAGTAACCATGAGTATTTGAATGGCATACTAGATGCCAACAACCAAACTATATTTTCTTAATTGACACCGCAATTTGAGAATTGTTCTCATGCATGAGAAAATTGGTCACGTCCTTGAGTAGCCTTTTCCAGAAACACCTGCTGATGACTCGATTAAAGAAGAGGTGGCTACTGTAGTAAACGCAGTGATGACAATAGTACTGTAGAGTATGTGATTCCTGCAACTATGTCACCTGAGTTACAAAATCGACTTGAGAGTATAGATGTTAACACATAATTCTTCATTACAAAAAGTTGTATGATAATAATCATGTGTGGAAGGATATGAGACTTCCAAACAACTATACCGGTGCAAAATGACACAGTAATCTTCAATCGATGCTTAGACACTGAAAGTGATTGACATTGAGAAATGTCTCAATTGAGATCAATCATAAACCATGAACTAAGTAGTGACTTGGTTCTGCAATCTCTGTCAGAGAAAGCTATTCATAACTAATTATGAATTTAACGTGAATAAGCTCGAATGCAAAATTATTGAGTTGCTTAACATGCTTAGAACTGTCATGCCCAATAACAAAGTTAGAAGTGGGCAAGCCATTGATTCCTCTAAGGGTATTTCGAGGAAGTCTAAAGGGACTTTGAG